GAATAACGTAAATTTTAAACCAAACCTATTTTTTGTCACTTACAAAAACCAGGATGGATACCCTTGTAAGGGTATTTGCACCGATACCGCCACACTCACATTTGCATGAGGAGTACCCAGGCTGCCCAAGTGAGCTCATAGTAGCACTCTACTCACTTCGAGTGAGAGGAGGGGAACCGTTGCCAGTAGGGAGGCTTGGAGGAAGCTGCAGGCTAGTGAGGGCGGCCATTGGAGCTAGTGAGAGTGGTGGTGGCCCAAGGAGGTGGTCCGCCATAGGCCCCAGGCTGTGGGGGAGAGAGAGAGGCTTGGAGGAGCCCATTCAACCCTCTTAGAGGGGAGAACTCCATAGCCTTGATAGTTGGAGCTTGCCATAGCCAGGGGGAGGTTGGAAGAGGAAGGAAAAAGGGCTCGAGAAAGAAGAGAGCCATAACTAAGTGAGACCTATGCAAAGGAGGAAGGAGCTTCATCAAGACTGGTCTTCAACACCAAGAGAAGAAAGGAGAGGTGAGTGAGAACAAGGAGGAGAAACTCTTCTTCTTCTTCTTCTTCTTCTTCTTCTTCTTCTTCTTCTTCTCCTTCTTCTTCTTCTTCTTCTTCTTTTTTTTCTCTCCTTTTCTTCTTTATTCTTTCCTCTTCATCCTCCTCCTCCCTCTCTCCTTCTTCCTCCTCATCTTCTACTTCTTCTTCAAGGAAGAGATAGAAAGTAGATCCTCTATTAGTGGTGTCTCCATGATGGTCATTTCCTTCACTCCCTGGCAAATCTCCATTTTGGGCTATGAGATTCCTGGCTTGAGGGAGAGATTTACTTACTCTCACATCAAGATCTATCTCTCCCCCCACTTGGGGGTAAATCTTTACTTCGATTTTCACTCATGAAGGCACTTTGGTGAGCCTAGCCTCTCACATTGTCCATTTCTCCACCTTGTAATGATTTGATTCAATGTTGGATGCTTCCATGAGTGCTATGCAGGTGTTTGAGCAAGTCTCACTCACATGCAGTCTTTCTCTTACTTGGTGATGTGCCAGCTCTTCCTAGTTGCTTCCATAGCTTCAAACATGTGTATGTTGTAGTCTAACCTGTGAAGTTCAGTCTTTCTCTTATTTGGTGATGTGCCGACTCTTCCTAGTTGCTTCCATAGCTTCAAACATGTGTATGCTATAGTCTAGCCTGTGAAGTTCAGTCTTTTCTCCACTTGGTGATGCGTCGGTTCTTCCTAGTTGCTTCCATGGCTTCCCACATGTGTATGTTGTAGTCTAACTTGTGCAGTTCAATCCTTCTCTCACTTGGTGTCGTGCCGGTTCTTCCTAATTGTTCCATACCTCCCCGCATGTGTATGCTGTAATCTAACTTGTGCAGTTCAGTCTTTTCTCTACTTAGTGATGTGTTGATTCTTCCTAGTTGCTTCCATAGCTTCCACATGTGTATGATGTAGTAACACTTGTGCTATTCAGTCCTTCTCCCACTTGGTGATGTTCCGGTTCGGATCTGTTGCTTCCATAGCTCTTTGTGCATGTGTCGGATAAGTCACACTTGTTTTCTTCAACCTTCCTCTCACTTAGTAAAGTGCCTGTTCAGATTTGTTGCTTCCTTGACTGTGTAGGATAATCACACTTGTGCTGTTCGGTTTCCCCCTCACTTAGTGATGTACCTGTTCAGATCTTGCTGCCTCCATAGCTCTGTGTGCATGTGTAAGCCGATTACACTTGTGTTGTTCAGTCTTTCTCTCATATTGATGATGTACCGGTCCGGACCTTGAATAAGGGATGGTAGGTCAAGTAAGGGTAAGGTTTGATTAGGATTTATTGGGGGTCTCTCTCTCTCTCTCTCTCTCTCTCTCTCTCTCTCTCTCTCTCTCTCTCTCTCTCTCTCTCTCTCTCTCTCTCTCTCTCTCTCCCCTATTTCGTCGTTTGGTCCTCTTTCCTCTACCCCTCCATGACCTAAGTCTAAACCTTGTTCTTTTCCCACCTAGCATACAACTAACCTCTTCCTCTCACTTGTTACGTTGCCAGGGGACGAACGGTGAAAGAAAGTTGACCTCACTTGGTGGAGGGAGAGGGCAAGGGAAGGACTTGTGCCACCAAAACGGAAAAGAGGGGAACACTTGAGAACGGTAGACGGAAAACGTGGTGGAGATCGGAAGCAGGCTCGTCCAAAGAGGACTAAAGAAAGATATTGTTGTTTGAGAAGAAAGGTCAGTTGACTCAACTAGAACCCAGACTGCATGACTATGAGAAGAGAATGGACTGGCTGAGTATAGTAAAAGGAATGGGAAGGAAGCCGAGGGCAAAGAATGAAAACTTAGGCATGTGGGAAGGGTTATGTGTTGACCCCAAGTGGGGGATTATATCGGTCTTTGCTTTGTGTTGATTGTGCAGGTGAGTAGCATTGAGGTGACTTGAGCGGGATTGGGCCAGGGATGTGCCAGCAAAGGGAAGAGGAATGAATGAGCAAGAGGCTGTGGGGCCTTAGTGTAAACTCTACAAGTGAATGGGCCCTTGGTGTATAACGCTTTAAGTATGGACTGAGTGGGGAATGAAGTCTTAATTGGTCGGAACATGAAGCAGCCCCTTTGTATGCGGATGGAGGCCCGAAAAGACTAAGGGCAGGCAACAAAGTCATGGATGGGACATGTGGATCACAAAAGAACATAGGGGCAAAGGGGGAAGACGGCGCCGTCGTGCCCCGATGATGTCATAGGACTGTTGTGGAGGGAAATGGTGCGTGGCCTAAGGATGACGCTTAGCCTACGCACAAAGGAAGAGAACTTTTAAAAAACCCCTGGACTGCTCGAGTATTCGAAGGAGCAATTGTCTGCGAACACAATAAAAAAATCAAAAAAATTATGCTTGCGAAAAGATCATCGAGACTACCACTCGGCGTGAGGGTTGAGCTACATCCCCAATGTCAAAGCTCTCTCGCTCGATGGCCCACCCCCATCCATCTCAAAGCACTAGGTGGGGGTGACCCCGTGACGAATGGCCCGCGCCCTAAGCATGAGCGTGGGTGGGCCGAGCCAATTGGGACCCGGAGTGGGGTCAACGCGGGCTCGAAAGTTTTAAGGGGTTTGGCCCTACAACGGTCACCATGCCAACCCACTGGGACTAGTACACGCATGGTTTGCTGCAAGTCCTCGATTCTGTTGTTGCGCAATAGAGGTCATACTGGGCATGCCAACCCTTTTACAGACGCTTATCAGACCGTCTATAAACACTTCTGGCGGGTTCCGGATTGAACCCTGGCTGTGATCGTCGTCTTGTCTGCGACGTTAAATAATTCCTGAGGACCTTGGGGGGTGTCCTTAAACTGCCTCTTGATCAGTCAGATCAACCGGAAGTAAGGCTCGTTGCATGCGAGGGTAAAGAAGGTGCAGGGGTTGGCAGGTTCGATATAGACTTGGGGCATAGGGGTGGGCCGAATTGCACACCTTCAGACACGCCGCTCAACCAGATGCTCAAGGCGTTGACACAAAGTGACCACTCAAGAAGGATACAGGGAGAAGGGGGATTCCGGTAACTGTTCGTAGAGGTACTAATTGGAAAATATTCCATCCAAGATGCATCTCTACAGGTGGCACAATTTTATTTTTGATTATTTAGTTGTTATGGGCTTCACTGACAACTAACAGACAACTGCAGATAGTTAGTATTCTTTGCTGCATGCATTTTGTTCCTGAGTAATCCAAAAATAGAATTAGTATTACCTGTAGGATTTGATACTAGTTGTTGTTTACCACTTGACTACTTCTCTCCAGGCTGACCGAAACTAGTAGAATATCATACTCGGTTGGGTGTCATGCTAAGGTAGGATTCTGTGTGGATTCTAGTTTAGATCACACACACTGTAGCTCATGAGTGATGCAGGCAGTAGTGAGGAGGCGGAACGACTAGTGGAACCTCTTAGAGTTACCCGTAGAACTGCTCTCAGTCGACCGATCACTTTCCCGGAATTAGGACCAGGAGAGGAAAGGAGGCTGCGGAGGGAAGCCAGGGAAAGGGGAGCATTAAGGAGGGTTAGGTCAGCAGCAGCCAGCTTAGAGGCCGCAATGGCTACCGCCTCCATGTCACAGGCCTCGTCCCAGGCCACTTCGTCAGGGGTTAGTCAGGGTATCTCTCAAGGTCCAGTTAGTCAATATGGTTGCTCGCAAGTCAGCCAACAGACTCAACTCACACCGGAGGATTATGAGATCCCCCAAGCAGAAGAACTTCATGATGAGTTGCAACGACAATTGAGTGAGGCAGCAGAAAGGAGACAGAGAGCTATATTGAGAAAAGCTAGACTAGGGAGCAGGAGGTAGGAGCTAAGTAGATTAGAGGCACTACACGATTCGACACTCGATCCTGCAATACAAGCGCTGCATCGTTCGCTCCTTTGTGTGGCAGAAACGCAGGTTGTGTAGCAGGAAGTGTTGGCTGAACTAGTGGCTGGCCAAAACCGGATTCTGGCTGCACTGCAGGCTCCTCGTCCAATGATGAGGCAGCCTCAGTATGTTGTAGCTCCCCCTTCGATTGCGGGTCCCTCAGTGACGCCATCGCCGATAGGGCCCTCATTTTCTCTTATGTTTGGCATGCCCCCTCCAAGTGGTTAAGTAGCAGTTAGTGGTCCGGTCCTTAGAACTTCTTTTGTACCATCAACGATGGTGGCAGCTACAGTCCCATCGTCAAGGCAGACTCAGGTTAGCGTGCAGCAACCTGTCTCGGTGGCTATGCAGCCACTGCAACAGTCTCCTGGGCCATCAAGGGTCCGCTCATCAGGGTCAAGGAGATAGTAGGAAGAAGAAACTTCCCCAAGATTGGAGGAAGAAAGGCAATCTCATGTTTGTCGACCATGATGGTCAGGCAACTGAGATTGATGACTTCCCTGACTTTGGGGAAGAGACAAAGCATGATGCGGCCAGCGAGATTTCGGAAGGGGGAGTCGTGGCGCCTATCATAGAAAAGACTAGGGGGACCGGGAAGCAGAAGGTAGGCCGGTTCAAGGGTCAGGGCAATCAAGGAATACCCGCATGGGTAAAACTTTGTTTAGATTACAAGGTGTGGAGAGATCGAGTTGCTAGGGGTACTTGTCTGAATTGTGGCAACTATGGCCGCACATCCAGGACTTGCGGAGGCAAGATGGTCACCACAAAGGTAGCCTCTCCAATAGTGGTGGGCTTATCTTCGAACCCTGGTGGTGCTTCTGCGAGCACTTTGCAGGGAAACACCCTCGGCCCAGTAGGAGTGTTAGCCACTCTTACTCGTGCTGAAGTGGTAACGTTGCCTTCACCACTTCAGGCGTTGGCCAAGGCTAGTGACCCATCCATCGCCCCGCAGACACATTCAGACCCACTGATGCTCTATTCGAGAGATGTGTACGAGTCCCTAGAAGAGTTACAGACTGAGTGGTCAGGGAAGGACCCCAACGGCTCTTGGGGGATGATTAGCAAAGGTCCTAGGGGTGAACATTTTGTGGTCGAGGTTGATGTAGGTGGCCGCAAAGTGGGTGCCTTCGCAGACATAGGCTCTACATGAAACTTCATCAGTCGTGCTTGTGTGGATAGGTTGCGGTTAGGGGACCAAGTGCAGCGGCTCAGTAGATATGTAGCATCAACGCTAGCCAACAAGCATCGCATGGTTGTACAAGACTATGTCAAGGATGTAGTCTGCACCTTCTCCTATGGAGGAGGGGAATTGGGACATAAAATCTCGTTCCTTATTAGCGACGAACTACCATTCGATATGCTGCTAGGTATGTATTACCTCGAGGTTGCTCAACCTCAATTCGATTGGGATAGAAAGGTGATGATCCACAAGTTGCCCAACTGTAGAACCGTTAGACTGCAGAAGTTCAAAGCTAGCAGTCTAGTGGAAAACTACGGGTGGATGTGTGCATCTTCCTTCTATAACTACTATAAACAAAATTGCGAGAAAGGTATGTACTTAGTCTTTGTCTCTGAGAAAGGGGAGGCCGTAAAATCATCCCCAGAGATAGAAGCAGTCGTCGCACAATATTCAGACCTTTTTGAGGAGCCCAATGGTGTGGTGGAAAGGGAGGTGGTCCATGCAATAGAGGTCGTCCCAGGTAGTAAGGTACCTAGAGGACAAATCTGTAAGATGTCTCCTGCGAAGTTGGATGAGCTCCGCCACCAGCTTAAAGAGCTCACAGAAAAGGGATGGATTCGGCCTAGTACCTCCCCTTATGGTGCTCCAGTCCTATTTGTTCCTAAGAAGGGAGGTACCCTAAGGATGTGCATTGACTATAGGGGCCTCAATGCCATCACCGTTAAGAACATGGAGCCCCTACCCCGCATCGACGACCTATTGGATAGAGTGCAGGGATGTCGGTACTTCACAAAGATAGATCTGAAGTCCGGATACCATCAAATTGCTATTGACCTAAGGACCAGAGCAAAACCTCTTTCCAAACTAGGTACAGTCTGTACGAGTTTGTGGTGATGCCCTTTGGCCTATGCAATGCCCCTGGAACATTTCAGCACGCAATGAATAGGATTTTTCATGGTCTAAGTTCATCGTCGTGTACCTTGATGATATCCTTATCTTTAGTAAGACTGTAGAGGAGCATGCAGAGCACTTGAAAACAGTGCTAAGTCTCCTAAGACAGCACCAGTACAAGGTCAACTTGGAGAAATGCGAGTTCGGTCGCACCAAGATCTTGTACTTGGGTCGTTAAATTTTTGTGGATGGTTTGAGGCTGGACGATGCCAAAGTGGCCAGCATACGAGACTGGTTATCCACCAACCTATGCGATGGACACATGTGGAGTGGGAATTTCTACTTCTCGTGCATGCTCGTCTCCACATGCTCCTAGGGTAGGGGCAGTTGCTACCTCTACCGGCGGCTGCCTTTTGCTGCCCAAATGCAGCGCGATTAAGCTTCTTATACTTCGAGCAAAATTTAATGATATGTCCGGGATCTCCACAGAACACGCATTGGAACTTGTCCATGCGATCCTGCCAAACATTACGTTCTAAGCCTAGGGTTTCCCAGGGTCTCCCTCCAGGCCGACCTGGGTGCCATTCATCCCTTCTGGGAGGTGACTGACTCGAGCTACGGCGGTTAGATGGGGGACCTAACCCCTACCTCCCACTTGGCGATCTTTGTTGTCGCCAACCCCCTCGTCGCCTTGCCCTCGACCACCTAAGGCCTGGCGACCTCTTCCATGGCCTCGTCCTTCTCCTTGCGGTCTCCCTCCGGCCGCGACAGCGGCGTATGAACTCCTTCTCTCTGCACTACTGTCCTCTTCCTCAAGTCCCCATTCTATGTCAATATAGGGGACTTCTTTGGCACCACCTTCTTCCATTGTTAGTATGAGACTGTCTTTGGCCTTAAATTGGCCAGAGATGGTGCGACCCTTCCACTTTTTTCCTTTGGCCAAGTCCTTATGCCAAAAAGTGGTAACTGGCAACTGGGTGGTGAAGGCAACAACTTCCTTACTGAGGAGATCATAGGTCATCCCAGGTTGTTGCCTCTTGTTAAAGAAGTGCCCTTGCAATTGCTCGGGCAACGTGACAATAGAAGAGTTGGACTAGCAGCGCTTCTATAACTCAATGGTCAGGCACAAAATCAGTTCGTCCATAGCGGTTTTCGGTGCATGCACTCTTCCAAGGTCGCATATGGATCATTTGGACTTCATCGGATGCCCTCAATGCTCTAGTGACATTCGGAAAGCGTTCTCGCAATGCAGCAAAGAAATCACTGAGGTTAGTAATGGCAGAATAAGCGACCATGTCATTTTCGCAGCGGGCGGCTCGTGCGAGAGTCCGGGTGAAACTAGTTGCTTCGTCACTTAAGGCCTGAAAGGCTATCATGACATGGTCGTCGGAAGGCACGTTCTGTAAATACACATACAATTTAATACTAGCCTCCCAATTGTCAAAGTCCTCATCCCTTCTCCCACTATAGGACTCAGGGAAGCGAACTTTGACTCTCTCGTGGCGAGGTTGTGATTCTTCCTCCTTAGGGACTGTCAACTTGACACCCTCTATCGCACCGGTGCAAAACTTAAATGTTCTACCGATTGCGGTCTGCATTTCGTTCACGAGATGAATCATCATCTTCTGGGCAAAGTCGTGGAACCCGGCTCGTATGGATTCAAGTGCTATATCATGCCCACTAAGGTGCCTTATCTGTTCTCGCTGAGCTGCCAGAACAGAGGCCATACTATGGGAGAGGGTGTCAATATGTTTCCCTATCTTTGTCTCTTCTTTCATCTTACCCAGCCGCTCCTCTGCAGCCTTCAATTCCTCCTCCATCTTATCTGCCATTTCCAATCGCCTCGTCTTCTCCTTCACGAGGCGCAACTTCCACTCCAACAGCTTCTCCTGCTCTTTTGCCTGACGGCGCAGGGACTCTTTTCTCTCTCCAACTCTCTTCTTATCGTTTCTCTTTCTGCCTAGGGGACTATCAACTCTGCTTCCCTATCTTCCCCCAGAGATATTCCTGCCACCCAGTCCTTTACAACCTTTTTCACCTCTTCCGATGGGGGTAGACCTATACTCGAATGCTCCTCTCTCCCCGTTCCTTTCTTCTGGGCCCTTCACTACTTCCTTCTCTCTCCTCCTCTGTAACGGGGCCCCCTCTTCTTCGCTTTCTTTTTCCTCTTTTTCTTCTTAGGCCAATTCTTTGGCCAACTTCGCCTCCTGTTCCTTCTTCCACACCTCCATCTCCTCCTCCATTTTTTTCTTTCTAGCCGCTTCTTCTTCCAGCAAGGCTAGTCTTTTCGCCTATTTCTCCAAGGCTCTCTTCTCCGTTCTCTCCCTCTACTCTCGAAGCATTACGGCAGCCTTCTCCTCATGTTCCTGACTATATGGCAGGGGCTGGATTCCGGACTTAGTAGTCACAGTGCAACAAAATACTGGCTGATCAGGAGGCATTTAAGGAGATCCCTCATAACTCCTCAGGAATTATTTAACGTCGCAGTCAGGACGACGATCACAGCCAAAGTTCTCTCAAGACTTAGACTAAACGCGCGATCTGCAGCTCGGAGTTCAGGTATAGTGTACCACCCAGAGCAGCTTGCTGGTCTGTACCGGTCCGCGGGGCCTTTTCCCCAGGTCGTCTGGCGTCAGATACACCCCACCCCTACTAAGTCCAGTGCAGGCGTCGGCCCCTCAGCCTCTATCAGACCACATGCATGGAACCTACAACAACAGGTGTGATGCAATGCAGAAAGATATGACAGACTCTACAAGACAAACTTGACTGCAACAAGTTCCAAGATGAGTATGCAACATCCACAGAGCATAAAAGGACAAGGGTCAAGGCTTGAAGAGATTGAACTCCAAGTTTGGTCCACTGTCAACTTAGTCAACTGTGCTGGTCAACACTCGCTGGTCAGCTCTTGCTGGTCAACTCTCGCTGGTCAACTCTTTGACCATCCAGCTATGGCGGCTTCCTCTCTCTTCGTCTCCTTCGTTTTCTTCACCCTCTTCTTCTTCGTCCTCAAGCTCGGCTGTGGCCGACTTCTTCTTCTTCTTCTTCGTTGTCGGCTATGGCTGCTATCACCTTCTTCTTCGTCACCTCTCTCTTCTCTCCCATCGCTTTCTCTTTCGTCATCGTTCTTCTTCTTCTCCAAGCTAGCAGTTGTGGCTGCCGTCTGCTATGGTCGTCTTCTTCCCTCACACGTGTCTCTCTCTCATCATCATCATCATCTCCTTCTTTGTGTCAGTCGGCTCCTTCCTCCTGTTTGACCTCCGCGATGCTTGTGCAGACAACGGGAAGCAGTTCCGATACCACTACAATCAGACTTGTCTTCACCTCATGTTCAACATGCATACATGCAGCTGGCGATGGCAACAGAAGCTTCCACAGACACAGAATCAGCAACAGACTTGAGATGGCGCAGTGCGCCCACACAAAAAACTCAGAGATATGGCCTTCAGCCAGGAACTCAGCTGAAAACAACTTGTCACATCTCATGGCTATGGCATCTAAGCGCCAGTCTGGAATTCCCACCCGAACAATGTATCCATCGTCAGACACACTCACATGCATGCACACACACAACACTTGGATCTACCCTGAATGTCAGCCCATACACACACGCTAACTACTAACTTGTTGCCGCCGTTGTCTTCCTCCTCTCCAGCGGCTATGGCCGCTTGTCCTCTTCCACCTTCGGGCTCTCTTGCTGACCACCGGTGAACTCAGCGCACAAGTCGCTCCAGCAGCGCTTCCGCGTAGTTCCCCAGATAATGAGTGAATGACTGATCGCTAACTCCTTATTTGTACTGTTTCGTTTGGTGCTCTGGGCCTGCCCGATGTCCGAGGCCCTCAAGATGTGCAGTCCCACTCTGGTACTTGCTGCAAAACAGACTGGACTGGGGCTGCCCTTTCAGTTGCCCCTTCAGTGTTGACTTGGGACTCTTGACCTTTCAGAGATCGACATACTGCCCTTTCAACCTGCGAGAGGTGAAGTTGACTCTTCGAGCACTACTCTAGCCACGACCTACTGACCTTTCAGACGACGTATGGCCAGTTGACCTTTCGAAAGGTCAACTGTAAATTTGCCATTTTAGGAAACTTACAGACGACCCTTAAGACTTCTAACCAACTAATCTATGGATCAAATCCACACGACCCAAGCTGCACACACAAAACATTTGTAATTTTGTACACAGTTTTAGAGACAGGTCGCAGGTTCAAAGCACACAGGGTCAACGGGCAACTATACAGTGGGCTAGGGAAGGTCTGGGGATCGAGTCCTGGTATCTGCAATGTTGCGCGAACTGGGTGAAACCCTTTCAATCACAGCCATACGCCTATTATTACACGTAATGACCCGACATAACACACACTGAGAACACTGCTGATTTCTGAGTTATGCCGATCGAATGGATGCCTTGATGAGATTCCCGCATTCTGCTGAGTTTTCCAAGTCTGTGTGTGTGTGTGTGTGTGCTTTGTGACCTGCGTGCCTGTCTGAGTGCTTGTCGGCCTGAGTGTGTGTGTGACCTGCAAGGGCACTTGCTTGTTAGGGAGGCCCGTAGGGCCGGTACTTACATGTCGCCATGACATTGAGGGTTGCAGCGGGGAAAACACTCAAAGTGGCGGAGCAAGAGGCCGACGACCCTTAGAGCAGCGGAAAAACACTCAAGTAGCAAGTAGGCCGGTACCGCACCAAGTAGAAGTAGATGTGCCGGGTACTCGAGGCCGAGCAGAAGAAGACAAAGTTGGCATTTTTAGAGGCCCAGTAGCGGTAGGCTAGGTCTAGGCGGGTACCAGTCCAACCAGGCTGAGTCTAGGGCCTGTACGGGCAATATCAGTCTGCAATGATGTTTCCCTCCGAAAGGGAGGAGGTACCGGTTGCTTGGGAGGCCCAGCGGTCTGGAAGTCACCACCCAAGAGGCAAGCAGGCGGCTATATCTTCGGGCTGAGCCAAGAGCTCAGCCTCATTCTTAGGTGTGCAAGTTTGGCGACACACTGCTTGGAGCGCTGGCTGGAGGAGCGCTGGGTACTACGGCGCTGCTGGGACGAAGAAGACCGGGAGCTCCCACCTCGGCTATGGTGGAGCTCTACCGGTAGGAGGAGGAGGGAGAAGAGGACTGAGGAGGAAACTGGCGAGGTACCTACCTGGCTATGGTGGACACCGTCTTGATCACCTTGATCGGCACTGCATCTGGAAGGCCCCTGTTGGGGTAGTGCCGCACCAAGGAAGCTCGAGGCAGAGTCAGGCATGGCGGTTTGATGAGCAGCGACATAGCTGCTTTGTGTTGTCCTTTGGACAGGAGGGCAGAGACCTCAGTAGGCCTACATGAAGAGGAACAGGAAGGATGGTCATGGCTATGGTGGACCTCACGTTGTGCCTGCAGTAGAAGAGGGATTCGGACATTGATTCCGTTTCAGCCATTCAACATTATTATTGTTACTTCTTGTTTTAATAAGAGGGGAGGAGATAAGGAGGAGGAGAGTGGTTGGTGAAGAAGAAGAGCATTATCATTGGTCCATGCTGGTGTACATCATCTTCTTCTTCCTTTCTTCTTCTTCTTTCCCTCTCTCTCCTCTCAAGCTCATTCATTTCTTTTTGAAATTGGACGGCATTGTACTTTCTGATGAATGTGTACTTCGAAATTGGCCAGGATTGTAACACCCCCCAACTAATCAGCTCATTAAAGTCCCAGTAGGCAACCCAGCAGGCAGAAACACACCCAAGCACACAGGATTCAAATGTACCAACCCCTACTGACCCCCTTAGTTGCCGGGTACAACTTCATTTACCCAAAAGGCTGTTGGAGGCTGCAACGGGAGGCTGTAACCTACTTGCGATTGGTGAGTCAGGAGTGCCAAGACTTACAGAAAAATTACAGAGAAGGGAAGGGGAGGGGAGGGGGGGAGGGTGAAATAGAGAGGTGTTGGGTTTCACCTACCTCTTATGCACAGTGCTCGGTAAAACTCTCCCCACAGGCTCAGCCTGAATGGTTTCCCATCTCTTCCCCTGGGTGGGGATCGCAAGCAAACCAAAAGCTGACAGTCCGCTTTGTAGAGGTCCACCTGGCTATGGCTGTCATAACCGATGTCATGAACCAGACAGCAGTGATCCAGCCAGTCCACAGGGCCCTTGTCCCACCGCAGGGCACCGCAGTCCCGTCCACTGGACCAGTTGGGCCCACAGAAATTCCCATATTTGGGAAAAAGTCGACAAGCGACAGCACGTGGCCCTGTGTGCCAGGGCAGTTTCTGTGTGTACGGAATATACGGAAGGAACGGAACGAACGGTGTAGAATCGTAACCGCCACCAGCGTCACGGAATTCACATCCTGCACATACTCCACGCAGCTTAGGGGAGACTGTCAGGCCACTACTTCCCCCTCCCCCAGCTTCACGCCTGCTAACGTGCCCGCATGCGGGCAGTGCTGGCAATGCCGGCTGGCTGACCGCCCCGGTACCAATAGCCTGTCTCTTCCAGTCTGTTATCCGATCCCAGGAGAGCAAGGACCATGGCAATGGCGACGACGAATATGAAGACGGCGTTGATGGTGATGTGGAAACCAGTGCCGCCAGCTGGCTGGTCGCCCTCACACCAATTGCCTCTCCCTTCCTGTCAGTGATCCAATCCCATGAGAACAAGGACCATGGAGACGACATCGATGACAACGACGATGAGGCCGAGTCTGATGCCGATGTTGGATCTGCCACGTCAGCATCAGCACTCCATGACAACCATCGCCATGTGTTCCCTCCTCCCACCTGTGGTCGTGATATACCGTGATCGCCATCCCCTTCCTCCGACCACCAGGGCCACCTTACGCCTTGTGTCCTGACCACCCCGAACCATATTGATGGATCAACGCCCGGCCACGTCACCATCGTACGTTGCCACCTGGAAGCATTGTCAAAATAACAAGCGATCCGATCCAACGAATAGAGGCCACAATAACAAAGGTTAGGAATGAAAATGACAATGAACTTGGATGAAGACGAGGGGACGAGGGAGAAGAAATTCAAAAGAAGGAAATCCTTTCCCAAAAGGGTGGGGGGAAAAAAAAACAAACAGAGAGAGTGAGAGAGAGAATCCCAGCCAACATCTACGTCGCAGTCTGTGACTGAACAATGAAATGAACTCCACGTTAAAATCCAAAATCCATGGATTGAAGAGCACATCCAGGTGGGCGGGGTAGCCCCCCCCAGTATTACATTGGCATCTCAATTCATCGGGATTCGGGCACTGTTTGAGATAGTTGCCATTTACACACAAGAAGAAAAGAGAGAGAGAAAGAAGTGCTTCAAGCTTTCAGCCAAATAGGCAACCACCACAAATCAAATTTGGAGGATGCCCTCTCCACTCAGGAGTGTTCATCCTTCAATTTTTGAAGAACCTCTCGACGTTCCTTGAAAATCTGGAAAAAATCGCTAGTTAGGACCTCGTTCGACACCACTTGAAATCGCGGAATTTCTAGGAAGCATCGTTCCACAGCTCCATCAGTACCACAATTTAGACGTCCAAAATGTTTCCACATTTTGCACGTCTAGGTCCACCCTAACTTCTCAAGTGCGCCCCAGCCAAAACGGCGAAATCTCATGGGCGGCTCAGGAGGTCACCAGAGGCTCACGGGCTGGACCCTAAGAAACTCGTAAAACACTACCGTCTTCCCCTGAACATAAGGCATATGCGTTGTAAACTAATACAACGCATACCGTGTGTTGTATTCGTTTACAACGCATATGCGTTATGTTCAAGTGAACCAACTTTGCCTGCACAAGGGGGTCGGGTCCAGGCTGAGTAGGCTCAGTTCTGGACCACGGCTGGGAGCCTCAGAGCCTTGGCAAAAAGGTACTAGTAAAGTAGCGACATACCTTTCCATGTTCTGGGTCGAGTTTCATTCCTTTCCCCTACTTGGGCCCTTGCTCCACTCCTCAGCAAATGTGCAAAATGCGAATGAATCTTCCACTACCGTAGACTGTGGACAAATACAACCCCTTTCTTTTTTGTCTCGGTGAACTCGGTAGTGCAGCGAGACCTTGGTGAGTGGCTTTCTTATTTTTCCACTTTCTTGGCCGCACCACATTCTTGGCTGTCAAAGTGCCACTTTCTTGGCTGTCAGAAGCGCCTTCGCACACGCACACACACACACACACACACACACACACACACACACACAGAGAGAGAGAGAGAGAGAGAGAGAGAGAGAGAGAGAGAGAGAGAGAGNACACACACACACACACACACACACAGAGAGAGAGAGAGAGAGAGAGAGAGAGAGAGAGAGAGAGAGAGAGAGAGAGAGAGAGAGAGAGAGAGCACAGGCAGATCTGTGATTACGGGCCTTCATGGGCCTGTCCCGTTCACTAGGGCAAACACGGAGCAGGCGTTGACATTCGGGGGAAAAAAAAAGGTTATATTCGACTACAAGAATTTTCTCTTCGTGAAATTCAAATATAACGCATATGCATATTATTCGAATAGAAATCATATGCATTATATTCAAAGTGCCCTTGTATTCGAAGAAAAGGGTCTAACTTTCCAAAAACCCATTTTTTAAGAAAACTAGAATACAACGCATATGCGTTATATTCGGGGGAAGACGGTACCCTGATTTCCCGGGCACCCGGGGGCCCAGACCACACTCGGAATGGCGCTTGTGTGCTCGGCCAGGCTCCCAGGCCCTCTCCACACCCCACCCCAAAAAAAAAAAAAGGGTGCACGGCGGGGGTTTCTTATTAATTGTGTCCATCCTGGCCAATTTCGAAGTACACATTCATCAGAATGCACAATGCCGTCCAATTGCAAAAAGAAATGAATGAACTTGAGAGGAGAGAGAGGGAAAGAAGAAGAAGAAGAAGAAGAAAGAAAAAAAAAAAAGATGTACTCCAGCATAGACCAAAGATAATGCTCTTCTTCTTCGCCAACCACTCTCCTCCTCCTTATCTCCTCCCCTCTTATTCAAGCGAGAAATAACAATAATAATGTTGAATGGTTCAACCAGAATCAATGTCCGAATCCCTCTTCTACTGCAGGCGCCACATGAGGTCCACCATAGCCATGACCACCCTTCCTCTTCCTCTTCATGTAGGTAGAGGTTATGGTGGACTACTGAGGGCTCTACCCTCTTGTCCAAGGGGCAACCCAAAGCAGCTATGTCACTGCCTTCCTGTGCAAAGGACAACTCAAAGCAGCTATGTCGCTGCCCATTCAGATGCCATGCCTGACTCTGCCCCGAGCTTTCTTGATGCGGCACTACCCCAACTGGGACCTTCCAGATGCAGCGCCTAACAAGGTGATGAAGATGGTCTCCACCATAGCCAGGTAGGTACCTCGCCACTCTCCTCCTTGGCCCTCTTCTCCCTCCTCCTCCTACCGGTAGAGCTCCACCATAGCCGAGGTGGAAGCTCCCGGGCTTCTTCCTCCCAGCAGCACTGTAGTAGCCAGCACTGCTCCAGCCAGCGCTCCAGCAGTGTGTCGCCAAACTTGCACATCGAAGAATGAGGTTGAGCTCTTCGCTCAGCCTCTAGATATAGCGGCCCACTTGCCTCCTGGGTGGTGACTTCCAGGCCGCTCGGCCTCCCAAGCAACCAGTACCTCCTCCCTTTCAGAGAGAAACATCATTGCAGACTCTGATACTGCCCGTACAGACCCTAGACTCAGACTGGATGGACTGGTACCCGCCTAGACCAAGCCTACCGCTACTGGGCCTCTAAAACTGCCAACTTTGTCTTCTTCTGCTCGGCCTCGAGCACCCGGCACATCTACTTCTGGGTGCAGAACCGGCCTACCTACTACTTGAGTGTTTTCCTCTGCTCTAAGTGCTGCGGGCCTCTTGCTCTGTCACTCGAGTGTTTTCCCTGCTGCAACCCTCAATATCATGGCCACGGGTAAGTACCGGCCCTATAGGCCTCCCAAACAAGCAAGTACCCTTGCGGCACTCAGACAGGCACGCAGGTCATCAAGCACGCACACACACAGACTTAAAGAAACTCGGCAGAATGCGGGAATTTCAGCAAGGCATCCATTCCATCGACAGAACTCAGAAATCAGCATTGTTCTCAGTCCGTGTTATGGCGGGTCATTACACTACCCCTCCCCTCAAGAGCGAGGTCGCTTCGAGCGAGTAACTCACTCAAAGTCCCTGCATAGCGCATCGTAAGCGTAAACGGCAAAGAGAGATCAAATATGTTCCGTAGGAGTGAGGGTAGCGGGGAATTTAGGTTGTTGTTCGGAGACAATCAGTCGTTCGTATGCGTTGACGACTCGCAGGCCACTTTGCAGCAAGTCTTTCTTAGCAATCCAGTAAAAATCATTTAATGGGTGATATAGAAAATGAACTTTGTATTGTCTGTTTTTCCCTTTTCCACTGTGCTCGACAATTCGATCAATCTTGTGACCGCCAGTGATTGCGCGAGGAGTCATCGATTCTCGATACAGAAAAGTTTCGGGTGGTGCATACGGAAACAACTTCGACGCGTGAAAGACTGGGTACGTGCGCAGATGAGTAGGCATGTCGATTGTGTAAGAAAAACCGAATGAATCCTCCCCTACCTGGTTCAGTACCTTCCATGGACCGTAATACTAAGGAAGAAGCTTTCATGATACACCCTCTTCTTTGGAAAACTCAGACATCTTGACCCAAATGTAACTTCCCACAGTGAAAGATCCAGGTTGGCGCTTCTTGTTGGCATGCTTAATCATGGCACTGCGTTGCCTTTCCATAGTTGCAACAACAACTTTGAGCAAGTGATCAAACTTAGCGTTGTAGCCAGGCTGGCCAGGTGTTAGGCCAGGTGGCGAGTCAGGAAACAGATAGGATAGGGGATTGCGGATTTGTCATCCGAGGTGCAGCCGATTAGGTGTCATCCCAGTGGAGGAGTGTATGGAGTTGTTGTACAATCCCTGCACAATCGACAATTCCTTATCCCAAGAGTTCTGATAAGGCACAATTAGAGGTTTATCTCATCGGCCAGTCCATTGGCTTCGAGATGTCGACCACACGTCATCTTGAGTTTGATGTCATAGATGTGGGAGGTGAAGTCCTTCCAATCTGCACTTATGAACCTAGTGTCCAGGTCACTCACAAAAGTCTTCCGGGGCCCACACTGCTGAATGTATTTATTGTGGAACTCCTCGATCACAAGGTTAGTTGGGCCATGAGGTGGGAATGAAATCAAATTCAGAAATTTTGAAAAGCGGTCAACGATCACCATTACTTGTGAATATTCGCTCCTGCTCTTTTTTCCCATGTTCGTGAAGTCAATGGAAAGAGATTCACCCGGGCCATCAGGAATACAGGATGCAGCAGCCCATAGGGCTTTTGCCGAGATGTTTGATGCGTTAACAAACTTCACACTCAGCCACAAACTTTCGTGTCATTCCTTTCATCCTAGGCCATACAAACTTTTGCAATAGGCTTCCGCATGTCTTCTCAAAACCGAAGTGTCCACTCCGGCCATGAGCCAAGTCCAAGAAGTGAGTACGGATAGGCTCATGGTTGGGCACACACAATTGGTCGTACTTTCCGTAACATCGGAAGAGCAAACCTTCACATTCGTGGAAATCGGACTAATTGTTAGAGTCAGCTTGGATTTGCTAAAGGATGAGACTGAGTTTCGGGCCCTTGGCAGTATGCTCAAATAGCTCCCCCTTCAATTTCTTACGGAGATCGTAGGAGCCCACAAGGCAAGTCATGTACTCAGGGTGACGAGACAAAGCATCCGCAACGCGATTGTAACAACCTTTCTTGTGTTTAAGCTCAAAATCATACACATCAATCCCATGCAGCCAGCGAGTTAATGTAGTTGACGGATTAATTTGTGTCTGGATCCATTTCAAAGTCTGCAACACTTCCTCAAGGTGTCTCATGTGCTCCTCCATCGACTTGTTGAAGATTAGTATGTCATTCAGATAAACAACAACAAATCGATTGATCTGACTGTGGAACACCTTGTCCATGAAACTTTGGAAGGTGGCTGGTGCATTCGTGAGACCGAAGGGCATGACGTAAATTTGTACAACCCATCGCGAGTTTTGAATGAAGTTTTGTGCTGATCAGCGGGCTCGACTTTAATCTGGTGGTAACCAGACTTGAGATTGATCTTGCTGAAGACCTTGCATCCACCTGCATCATCAAGCAAATCATCAATGCGTGGAAAAGGGTATGCATTATTTCTTGTTATTATATTCAGTCGATGGTAATCGATACACATCCGTAGCTTGCCTCCTTTCTTAGGGACAAACAAAACTGGTGCTTCGAATTCGGATTCGCTTGGCTCGATCCAACCTTTTTCAAGCATGTCATCGATCTGCCTTTGCAACTCCTCCAATTCACCTGAACCCATTCGATAGACACAACCTTTTGGAGGAGTATTGCCTTTTATCAACTCGATCTTGTGTCGGACCGGACGCACGGGAACTCCACGTGGTTCAGCCATAACTTCAGG